ATTGGACAACAGTTGGTTGGAGCAAGAGCTGGAGGTCCAGGGGTAAGACGTTCCATTTAGCATTTGTTGTTTCGATAAATAACATGATTGCTTTTTTTTACAAGATTATATATATCTGTATAGTATGTACGAAAGCATTGAAATCTATTTTTATACAGCATTTTCTGTTGCATATTTATATTGTTTTAACCTGGTTTAAATTATATTAAAAATTTTAAGTTTTATTGTAAATATGTGTATATATATATATATATATATACACATGTGTGTATATATATATATATATATATATATATATATATATATATATGTATATGTATAGTTTTAATACTCGTATAACTTTACTTTTACTAACTATTAACATTTTCACTACCACGTGTATCATTTACAATACACCTACCACACAGATCACGTGTATCGTAAATCCGTGTGTTCTGTTTTGAAGAACTTTTTGAACTGGTGCACAGTAGTGCAGTAAGATAGAGTGAGACAAGAGGCCTGTTCGTTTTTGCTTCACTTTTGAACTAGTGCAACATAGTGCAATAAGTTAGAATGAAACAAATATATTTTCTTTTATTCTAACTTATTGCACTAGTTCAGAAGTGGAGCGAAAACGAACAGGCCTAAGTATATTTTGTTTTAACTTAACTTACTGCACCAATGTGCAGTTCAGAAAGTTCTCTTCCTGAAAAAGAACAGGCGGCGAGTAATCAGGTCATAAGCTGTGAAAGGAAAACAAAAAGGAAATAGAAAAGCATAAACACTGTAAGAATCGGCAATAAAATACAGCAACTAGTAAAAGAACAGCCTTGGTCTGAGAGTGTATTTTTTTATTCCACTCGACAGTGAAAGTGTTAACATATATATAATTTAGTTGCCCAATAATAACTCTTTATTTATTTATGATAAAAAAAAAATATAGAAGAATTTGATGGTAGCGTAACTAACGATTATTATTTTTAATTTTTAGATAACTTTACAGGCACTTCATAGCCTTCAAGCTGGTACTCAAGGTCATCTGTTATTAAAAACAGAAAATGGACAGTATCAGTTATTGAGGGTGGGTCCAGCTCCAACTGCGGGTACTCCTACTGGTACTGCAGTTACACCGAATAGTATAACTGGCAATGCGGTAGTCGCTGCACCATCTCCAGGCACTACCTACCGCCTAACTTCAGTGCCGACTGTAAGTAGGCTGAATACTCAGTTCACTGGCCCACCACTCGCCACCCTAAGAAAATCTGTTCAGGTGACGCACTTTTATACCTCTTACAAGACTCGTTGTAGTGCTACTGTAGATACTTATTAGTTTGTGATTTTGTTTTCTGGAATGATGTTATCAGTAAGCCAATATATACTTTATGTTCAGTTTGTCTATTTGCCTATTTTATTTTGTCCACTACTTTAAAAATTTAATCACGACATAAAACTTGTATTATTGTTGTTTCTTTATTTATTGATTGTTTGCGAATATTTAGCATTGTATTTAAGGCACTGTATGTTACATAATTTCTAAAATTATAATTATAATTTTTATAAATATTTATTCTGAATGCAAAAGAATTTCCTAAGCAATTTTGTTATCTACCATCATAGTGTCTATTTATTTTGGCCCACATTTGATCCACATTCTAATAAAATTTAGTATAATTGATAACATCTCATTATTAGCTTACTTTATGGGATGCATTTCTCTGGTAGTATGTCTTGAGTTTTATGAAGTGCAGTAAATGCATTAAAATTAAATGTCTTTATATCAAATTTAATTGCATGAAATATTGGTTAAAGGTGTTACGTAGGAGCTGCTATGCTGGATGAAACATAAATTATTTTAAAGAAGGACGCAATTGAGGATATTTATACGCATCTTTTATGTGCTCCTTTATTCTTTATATATTTTTATTGATATATTTTTAAAACTTATTTTTATTTTTTTTCTGATATAAGCATGTGTAATTATTCAAAATTTTCATGAATCTATTTTCTAAAACTTATTTTGTAATTGGTATTGAGAAATCAAAAGTAAAAATATTTGTAAAAATCTATTTCTTTCTTTTTCTCTCCCTTTCTTTCTCTTTTTACTATTATGTTATACATTCTAAAGGCCAGAACACAGCACAAAGCTACAGGCAATAGGAACAGGGAATAGCAACAGAATGTAGATTTTCATCCTATCGCAAGCCGTGTATCAATGCATTCTGTTCCTATTCCCTGTTCTTATTGCCTGTACCTTTGTATTGTGTTCCGGCCCTAAATAATGACGATATATATAATATAATAGTATAATTTGGCTAAAAAATTGGCATATTGCACAATTACTTTCAAAAAAAGTTTTTATACATTTTCAGATATAAGTTTTTTATAAGATAAAAGTTTTTTATACATTTTCTGATATAATTCTGATATAATTGAGATTAGATAGAAGTTGATATGATATTCTGTAAGCTATTGAAGTAAAACAATCAATGAATATTGATTAATGATATATGTTATTTCTATAATATATCTTAATAATTTGTTTACAATTACAAAAAATTGTAAAATATGAGTCTGTACAAGGTACAAGTGCGTCTAAAAATACGTTGTAATGATAAGTCATATATCTATATATATATATAGCAATTAATTTAAGTATTAATATTGTTGTTATTACATCTTATAACATAATAAAGTCAAACTATTTATTAATGCAAGTTATTAATTTCTATGAAATCATAATGTGTATTAAAAACTTACATGTGATCATTATTATGATCATCTGCAATAGCCAGCGAGTTATAATACTTTTTCATAAGACTATTGTTTCTGAACTTTGGCATGCATGTCAGAAAAAATAGATGCAGTTTGTAATTTATCACGAACGTAGTAATAAAGAATTTTCCAAAATTCTTCTAGTTGCATGCAATAAATAATGAAATAGGATGACACTTTTATACATTTTTGCCTGAAATTTTTAAAAATTTCAGAAAATATTCTTTATTTATATTCGTGATTTTTATGTAAATATAATATTGAAAATCAGTAGGTTTTACTTAATGTGTTATTTCAAAATTGCATTAATTATATCAATTACATCAATTACATTGCCATTAAGAAGAAGTAAGCAAGCTGTTGTAAACTGAATGTAAACATGTGCCACAAGAATTCTCAATAATTCACATTTCTTCATATTGTAAAATTTATTTTAAATATAACGATTAGTTTATTAACTTTATTTTTTTGTTATTTATTATATTGTATTATTATTTCTGCATGTAAGTTTCATTAATTATTCATTTTACATGATTATGAACATATAAAAGTTTTATAATATTTTATGGATTATAATTTTAATATTTCAATGGCATTAATGTATTGTAAAAATATTTTACTGCTACAGACTGTTGCTCCTACTATTACTACATCTACTACAACTCCAGGAACAGTGACTACTGCACCTACAACCACTTCTGCACCAACGGCTACCACTGTTCAGACAGCTCAAACATCTACACCGGTATATATATTTCTTTCTATTAAGCTAAATTCCCTATAAATCAAGTTCGAATAGTAGTGTATACGTCATATGAAATTTTATGCGAAATTAAATTCTATGAAATAAAATCTAATTTTATACACAATTTTAAAATAATGATGTTTTTCTCTCTTTTAGCGTCAAACTACTGATAATACCAAAGAAAAGTGCCGTAAATTCTTAGCGAACTTATTAGAGTTATCTAGTCGAGAGCCTAAAGCAGTGGAACGCAATGTCCGAACTTTGATACAAGAATTAATTGATACTAAGGTCGAGCCAGAAGAATTCTGTGACAGACTCGAAAAATTGTTAAATGCTTCACCACAACCATGTCTTATCGGATTTTTGAAGAAAAGCTTGCCTCTTCTACGGCAATCACTCGTCACGAAGGAATTAGTTATAGAGGGAATAAAGCCTCCTCCAGCCAATGTTGTTTTTTCCATAGCCTCAGCTGTTCCAGCTATCACGGTAAAATAAACTTAATCTTTTCTACATTTGAATTTTATTGTTTATATATAATATATAAAAAATGCAATATATTAGTTTTTCGTAACAGTAGTTAAAAATAATTAAAAAAAAGTTATAGAGATTGTCTAGAAATTTTAACCTTTAGACCGCCGGAAAGCCTAAATATAGTTTCTACGTATGATCGGAACTTTGTATATGTTATATATAAGATATAAGCACAATAATTTGAGGACTTTCTAAGAGGATTAAAGCTCATCAAATGCCGGCGCTCTAAAGGTTAAAAAAAAAAATCGAACTTTAGTGAATAAAACTTACATTTTTTTTAAATCGATATTTTCTAAGTTGTTAATCTTTTATGCTTTATTTGTTTTACTCTATATAATCCGCTATTTTTTTAAATATTTATGATATAATAATAAATAATTGTACAAACAATTTTACAGGATTATTGCATCACTTTCTAACTTAAATATTATTATATATTATAGCAAACTCAATACAGACCTGCAGTAGCAGTGGCAGCAACCGTTCCTGTGACGGCGACTGCGACAGCAACAACACAAGTGAGAGTAATGACACCGCTTCCAACACCAGTGACGGCAGCAACAGTAGTTACAACGACTGTTCCACGGCCTGCTCAACCTATTCCACAGAGGCTGGTAAGATTCTTAGTTTTTTTTTTAATTTTAGCATATATTTTATCTGTATATATATAAATTAATATTAATTCATAAACCAATTTTCACTTAATATATATCTATGATTTTTTTAATTAGCATTTAATATATTTATACAATTAGAAATGAGATTATAAAATTAAAAAGAAGTTATTGTTTTAATAATGTACTAAAAGTTTATGCGTTTTTTTTTGTAATCTTTTGTAAGTGTAATGTACAATAAAAATTGTATTGTTTTAGGTTCGACCAGTAACGACAGTGGTTCGGAGCCCAACTGCAGCATATGCTGTGAAAACGACAGCAGCAACAACTGGAATTCGCCCCACTGCCCCTGTTGTGCAAAAACCACCCACAGTCGCAACCACGGTTGTAAAACCAGTCACTACTACGCAAGGCAAAACACTCAATACAACCACTACTGTTAATAAAGCCGTAGTGCCTTCTCTTGTTCAGAAACCGGCTGCAAAGGAAAAAGAGAAAAAGTCGTTTTCGTCAGCAGGATATACGTAAGTTTTGCTAAAGATAGTGTATAAATAGTTAATTATTACAAATAAATTAGTAAATGAGTGAAGAAACCAGCAAAGAAACATCTATTTAAAAATAATGGACCATAATTATTATAAATATATAACAATGTGATGACTTATTTTATGTAGGGCGGATGATGATATAAATGATGTAGCAGCTATGGGCGGTGTTAATCTTGCGGAGGAATCTCAAAGAATACTCGGTTCTACAGAATTTGTTGGTACCCAAATACGATCCTGTAAAGATGAAGTATTTTTGCACATGACACCATTACAACAAAGAATTAAACAAATTGGTAATTTTACTTTTCTTTTTACTACTTTAAATGAATATGGAATAATATACGAATTAGTGTTAACAATAATATTTTTGTTAATTTAGCATCCAGTCACGGATTGGAAGAACCTAACCAAGAAGTAGCAGCTTTAATCTCGCATGCTGTTCAAGAGAGGTTAAAGAATTTAGTAGAAAAGTTAGCGGTCATCACAGAACATAGGATAGATCTTATAAAAGTAAGATTTGAGAGGAATGTGTTATTTATCTTTGTATTTCTATATCTATATAGGTGTAAATTGTATTAATATTAATTGAAATTATTTTGTTTCTATAAATTAGTGGATATTTTGTGTTTTTTTTTTGCTTCCTCATAGAGGAAGCTTTGTTTTTTATTTTTTTGTAATATTCCATTTATTCTTACAGGTTGATCCTAGATATGAAGTAACACAAGATGTAAGAGCGCAATTAAAATTTTTGGAAGATCTAGATAGAGTTGAACGTAGGAAGCACGAAGAACAAGAACGAGAAATGCTTTTACGTGCTGCAAAGAGTCGTTCAAAAACAGAAGATCCTGAGCAAGTGAAATTAAAAGCTAAGGCCAAAGAGGTAATATATTAATTTAATTTTGCAATCGATTTGCATGATAAACTATGTTTATATAAATTCTAATATCTCTTGACAATTTCTGTGGGTTTATCTCCTCAGTTTCATCTCTCTACAATTTATTTAAGATGGATAAAACGTTTTAGATGCAACGTGCAGAGATGGAAGAATTGAGACAAAGAGAGGCGAATTTAACAGCTTTGCAAGCAATTGGTCCTCGGAAGAAGCCTAAACTCGATGTGGCAGGATCGACCAACAGCACTCCCGGCGCAAATGCATCGGCGAGCGGATTAAATAGGCAAATGCCAATGAGACCACGTTTGAAAAGAGTGAATTTCAAAGATTTGGTATTTCTTCTCGAACAAGAGAAAGAAACGTGTAGAAGCACAACACTGTATAAATCGTATTTGAAGTGATGCACTGTGAAGGGCAGGAACTTTAGTGACCCGCCCAAAATCTGGCGCTCTATCTGCATGGTCTTGTATGAGCTGGCCTCGATGGATCGTGCGACGTTAACTACGTTGCAATGTATAGTAAGTTATTGCGAGTTGCATATTACTGCAATGAAACTTATTGGGAATTGGCTTGGGATTCTGCGTACATTCAAGGTAAAATTGTTTCTACCATGTCGATACTAAGCTTCCCTATTGTAAATGACTGAACATTTTTTAACTGTAGTATACGTTTTTTAAATGTAACATAATAGATCGTTCTTTATTTTTCAACACAAAATCGCATTGATGAAAGGAGTAATGTGTATGAGCACATGTCTCGTGATTAGTCTCTATATAGTCCCTTCGTGGCGAAAGAGAAGATGAGAGAGAGAGAGAGAGAGAGAGAGAGAGGGAGAGAGAGAACGCCGTATATAAATATTGTTATATGGTGAATGTATGGCTGAAGACATTTAAGTGAATGAGTGTACATTGTCATTACGTATAGGCTCGCTGCATTGTAATACTTGACCTATACTTTTGGACACTGTAGCGCTAGTGTAAAATAAACAGGTTTTGTTATAATAGTAAATCGTATTTTTGCAAACTGTAATGTAATAATAATAATACCGCGAGCACACTGTCCAAAAAGTATGGAATAATTTGTACAATATCTTACACATAATTACTAAATAGTGATAATTTCAATGTTGGTACAACAGAATATAGCTACTCTCCACCGAAAGTTGGAATTGTTATCAGTATATTATGTTGTATATTGCAATCAACATTTTCAGTGTTTATAAAAAAATTAGCTGTTACGTTTTTTATTAAAGAAATATTTACAAAACTAAGAATAACCAATATTTTTTTGATTGATGTTAATTTAAATTATTTATATTTCCTTCTCGGAATTTTGGTGCGGATTCTGCTAATACTTTGCATAATGAACTTTTGCAGAAATACTTTGCATAATTAATTAAAACAAATTCAAAGCGAGTACCTGATTTATATGTAAAGAAAAGTAGCCACAAATGTACGTGGGTGCCTGAGATCATAGAGAACAATGCTTAAATTATCTATTTTCATTGATTCTTATTGATTATTATGTCGGTTTATATTATATCATTTACAAGTCCGTATTCTTTTTTGACATATAATTAACAATGTTTCATACATGTAAAACATGGTTGATCTTTGTACCTTACATCATATCATTTACAATATAAAGTTAAATTATTAGTGCAATGTAAGCACATTTTTAGTAGATATTTTTCTCTCATGTTAATTGTGTTTTACAACTTTCATATTAATCTTTCACACTTCGATACTTTTGTTAACATATTTAATTAGCAATTTTTGATATAACATTTTATGTCACCAAGATTTATATTATTAATCACAGCAAAAAAAGAAATCTCACGTACTTTCGAGTACTGCCAATCTTTGAAAAGCCTATTATGAAGTAGCAGTATGTCGCCTTTATTGCTAATCCACACCTATATGTTGATTAGATTATTTGGCACAAAACATGTCTCGTTATAGAATATCTTTACGTATTCTATGTTCAATGCCGAATAATTTATATCAACATTTAATATATTTGTTACTTCAGCAATTTCTGTGCTTCCAATTTGAACAGAGGGGCATATTAAAGTAATATAATTTTATTATAATATATTCCGACGTATGATGACGTCTCTTAGCTTTCAGATGTCAATAAATCAGAATGAAGAATGGACGCGTGTAATAGTCATAATTGTTAGTTACTGTTACACGCGATAATTGCTTCAATTGGTCGACGGTTTCACGTAAAAAAGACTGAACGAATATGATGCGTAGGGAGGATATGTTTGGACATATGAATTGTAATGTATTGTAGCACAAAATTTATGTAATTGGAAAAATGATACCGTTATATAGAATTTCATACGTCTGAAGCGTTAATATGGGAGGGATAATTGGAGGCGGCATAATTTACGTACGTATATGTATATATAAGTACCTACTTCAATTTATTTTTTCTGTCATTGCAATTTTTGATCATTTTTGACAGAGTTATTGCGATTGAGACGTATTTACATATACTGAAATTTTGAACTAAAAACTATGTCCATCTGACCTGTCTAATTAATATCCAAACGATCGTGACAGAAATAATGGTAATGTGTATATCTTGTGTAAATAAGTCGTTTTTAATAACTGCATACTTTATTTGGGAAGCGTTCGAAACCATCATTATGTACCAATTTTTGCTGAGAGCACATCGCGTATAAAAATCCTCACTTAGCTGTATCGTTCCTCTTTGCAATTATTATACCGTTTTTTACTCGATCTTGAGGTAAAACGTAAAACGTGCATAAATCATAACGGTCGCTTTACTGCCAGTAGGTGGAATATTAATATATCTATAAATAGAGAAGAATATATAAAAAATAACAGTACATTACAATTTTGGTACATTATGATATTTTTATAAATTGTACTGGATAAGCAGTAAGCAGTAAGTGAGATAATAAAATATAAAAACAAATCGTCGAAATGCAAACTACGTTTCTTCATTTTCTAGTGAGATGTTATCTTTAGTTCCATATTAAAGTAACCATTAAGAACATAATTTTCCTTTTTATATTTTTTTATATTACAGAAATACTTAGATTCTAGAACGAGCAAGTTTAACGATAAAAGTAACACTGTAGGATTTTAGCTGAGTCTTAACTATTTAATCTTATTTTCGTCAAACAGATATTTAATTTTTTTTAATTTTTTCACGTTTTTTTATTTTTTTATTTTTATTTTTTATAACTGTCTTTCCACATAGTGGATTTTCCTACTTATTGACACATATTTGGCGCCGGTATATATTCGTAGTCTTATTTCGTTTTGAAGAAATCCATCTTGGAATATTATGCGTTTCCAAGTGATTTAGATAACGAACGATTTATTTCTGATGTTATGAATGTAATTGCGTTCGCGCATTACGCAATGATCTTTGAAATATTTTATTAACTTTTCTCTCAGAAGATAATACCATCGCTTCAATAAATTTTTCTTCTCCACGGTATTTTAATCTAAACAGGAGAGAGCAATGTATGAGATAATAATGACAGTTATTTGTTTGAAATTAATAGAGTGAAGAAGATTCAAGATACTTAGTCCTATTTCAAAGGTCTTATTATACGAGATACCATTGACTGTAAAAACAAGAAGAGAAATTAACAATAGTTATAAATTAAAAAAATTATTGAAAGATAAGAATTACAAATAAGAAAAAGAAATGGATTTTAGAATCGATGGTAAAAACTTCTCATTAGGTATATATGATTTTTTCGTGATATTCACACACACTCAGAGCAATTTTCTTTTTAATTTATATAAATAAGGTCTACATTTTCTGTACTATCAATTTGCTATCAATTTAAGCTCTGAGAATTCTTCGTCATGCGTAGCTGAAGTTTTGTGCTTTCAACGAGGATGAGAGGAAGATGAAAGGAGCGCGCAATATTTTTTGCAAAATATCGACCGCAGATTTTTTTTAGGTGAATAATGACGGCGGGAGTCGATCCAAGGATATCTTCGAATTTCATATCTACCTAGAAAGCCTGTCTTTCGCATAGCCCGTGGCCACGTGTATATCGGAGAACTCGGAGTATTAAGGTGGCCAGGGCGATCCAGAAATGGAATATAATCAGCTCGACGAGGGATAGAGAGAGAACGAGGGAGACGAGACGCGGTGAGGCAGAGGAAGAGAGAAAGGATGCGAGAGGGCAAGAGAGAGAGAGAGAGAGCATTTCGCCGGGTGGATTCGAGGGATGACAGCCCCAGGCTGGTGAAACCCTCGGGCGACGCGGATATTGAGTTCATGGTAACCATGGAGACGGGGCCCGAGGGCACGACGTTTGTGCGCTTTATCCCTTATTCCCGCGGTTACGTGATCAACGCGGTCCCAATGAGCTCTCTTACTTCGCCTCTCACGTACGCGCTTCGTCCTTGCATAGTCGCCGTCAGACTGGTCGAGATAGAAATTTTTCTAGTGGATCTATAAATTTTCCCATGTAATATTTTTTTTAATAAAAAACAATAGCGATAGAGAGTTATAAAAACGCTGATGCGATCACTACGCTTTAGCACGCTTAACGTTTCAATATTATCGTCACATCTTTGTGTTGCACGTAGTAAATTCTTTTAAATAAATAAACATTTTTTGATTTATGAAGAGTACTCTCCTTATCTTTCTCTTTCTTTTCGTGTGGATAACGGAAAAGTGATTTACATTTCGTGGCTATGCTTCTTCGCATTCTTTTCCGTTTTTTCCCCGAAGTAGCCGGCCTTTTTTGCGAAACCGTTCCACAATTTCCGATCGGTTTTGGACGAGATCCAGGAATTGCAGGATTTTCTCGTCGCACGTTCTCGGGCGGGGTGCCGGCCAATGCTCGTCCAGACATTGCAGCCGAATGCAATTTCACCAGGAATTCCACGCGGAATTCGTGGTCCCTCGTCGCTGCCAGGCACAAGCACGCGTTACCGGAATGATCTTCCAACGGAGCTTGACGAGAAGACAGCCCTATTCAGCGGGGTTTGATGAGAAAACTCGATATTGCTTGTGGCATCGTAAATCCTGTGCCACTATGCTGAAACCGCGATTGCCATTACAGCAAATGTGTATTCAACAATGTATCTATCTGTGATGATAATTAAAACGTTAATTCATGCAATATGCGTCTGAAATTACAAGCCAGTCGGTACCATCATTTCGACGGCAGATTATATTTATTTTTGCCAAGATGTGAGTTTCTCATTAAATCTTTGAAAAGCTTTATAAGTATATTAATTTCCTAGAGACTCAATTGTTACGTATAAAAAACTTAGAAGTCGACTCGGTCATCATTTTATAGCCGATAATCATTTCTTTATCGACGCTTGGATTAGATTCGTGACTTCTGTTCACCACTATTATCTCAGATTGTGACGTAAGAAGCGAGAAAATACACAATAAAAATTCTTGCCAAATATAATATATATGTTTCAATAAAGCAATACTTACAATCAATAGAACTAACTTGTAAAATATACTAAAAACTATCTTTTAGTTTCGGGGAGAAATTAAATCATATTTATTTCTATATATTATTAATTTGACAATTGTCATTAGCTGTGAACATATATAGCTTATTTTTTGTTTTTGGTTATGCATAATTCATTGCTAGCAGGTATATGATTATTTATTAATGAAACAAGGAGAGTTTTCGGTTATATTTTACAAGTCGGTTCTACCGATTGTAAGTGTTATTTTATTAAAACAATTCGATCTTAATATTTAGTAAGAATTTTTATTTTTGTATATTTTTCTCGTTTCTGACGTCATAATCTGAAATAGTAGTGCAGGTCTAATGGCTTTGAATTTTGCGCCAGACGTTATTTGAACGGTAATCTGTTCATTTTCAGACTGAACGCGCGAAAGAAACACGCGAATCGAATCAGATCGAGTAATTCAACCAACGGCAAGCCATATTACATCATTATTTATTGATAATTTATTAATAATACATATTTTCTGAAAATTTTATATGTTCAAAATATATAATAATATAATCGCACGTGCGAACTCGAATTGCATGCTTTCGAGTGATCAGTGCGTCTATCGTCTATTATGCCCGTTCTAGACTGGAGGATGAGCCGACTCTCGGCTCATCCGAGTGAGTGGTGTAGACGGGTGAAAATCTATAGGTTATGTATAGTTTATGTCACGTACACTATAGAAGGCGGATGAGCCGACTCTCGGCTCATCCTCCAGTCTAGAACGGGCATTAGTCAACTCGCGTTGTGGCGCGCGGCATCGGCGTAAAGTTGCCGT